TGTTAGACGTTACTTTTAGTTCTTCAGATATTGCAAAAAAAATTACATGGACTGTTTTCTTAGATACACTTGGTTCGAACCATTACCCTATTTTAATAACAGTTGCTAACGCCTCCCATTCAAATGAAAAAATTTTACCTAAAAGTAAATGGAATATTAAAAAAGCAAACTGGAAACTGTATACAGATGTTGTAGACTCTCTCTTTGAGAATAATATGGAATTTGAAAACACTGGCGAAAAGTATTGCTTTCTTATTAATAGCATAAATGAGGCTGCAGAAAAGGCAATACCTGCTTTTAAACCTTTCACTAGTAAAAATCATCTTCCGCCTCCTTGGTGGGATAATGAATGTAGTAATGTTGTGAATAACAGAAGACAAGCTATTAAATTATATAAGAAATCTCCTACAATGGCCAATTATATACAATGCCAAAAATTTGTATCAGAAGCCAAAATATTTCTAAAAAATAAAGCTAAAAAGAGCTGGATTGATTGGTGCTCAAAGTTGAATAAAAATATACCATCAGCAAGCTTATGGAATCAAGCTAGAAAATTAAACAGAAAACCAATTTCTTCTATAAAATGTTTTGACGATTCCTTAGAAGAACAATTTTTTGATCAAATTGCTCCACCGTCTGTAAAAAATTGCAAAACTTTTGACTATTCTTTCAATAAGCAATATCATTTTTTGTTGGAATCTTTTAATACCTTAGAATTGGAATTTGCCTTAAAAAATCGAAATAGTACTAGTCCAGGTTTAGATAATATTAAATATCCAATGTTACTATATCTTCCCAAAAGTGCCAAAACTTTACTATTGGAAATATTTAATGATATAATCATGAATAATTCAGTAATAGCTCAATTTCAAGATGTAATCATTATCCCCATACTCAAACAAGGGAAAGATCCTAATTCCGTTCACTCATATAGACCTATCTCACTTATGTCTTGTGTACTGAAAACTTTGGAACGGATGATTAAACATAGATTGGAATGGTGGATAGATAAAAAGAAGTTACTTCCAGATTTGCAGTTTGGGTATAGAAAAGGCTGTGGTACCATAGATGCACTTGCCACATTGGTAACGGACATTCAGAACTCCTTCTCAAGTAATATTTATTTACCGACAATAGTATTAGATATAGAAGGAGCATATGATAGTGTTTGTCTCGATATTTTAATGGAAAAATTAATAAAAAATTTTCAAATACCACCACAATTGGTAAACACTATTCTTAACTTTTATTCCTGCAGAAAAATTTACCTGAGAACAAACAATAATAAACTTATAGGTCCTCGTTATAATAAACAGGGACTACCGCAGGGATCAGTTTTAAGCCCTCTATTGTTTAATATCTATACTGCAGATTTACATAACATTTTCATTAAAAATATCAACTTTAAAATAATACAGTATGCTGATGACTTTCTTATGTATTCTTCTACCAAAAAATACGATAACTGCATTCAAACTTTAGAAAAAATACATGATAGATCCAAAAATTGGTTCAAACTAAATGGGTTTGAAATTGCATCAGGTAAATCAAGTATTAGTATCTTCACTCGACACAATATCCCAAAACTAAATCAGGTAAAATTGAATGGGTATGATTTTAATTTCAGTTCTTCAATTAAATATTTGGGAATGATTCTCGATCGTAAGTTAACTTGGAAACTTCACGTTGAGTTTATGTTAGATAGATGTAAGAAGGGTCTAAATTTCCTCAAATCAATTACAAAAACATGGTGGGGTGCAGATGTGGAAACTTCTTTGCTTTTTTTCCGATCTTATATTAGATCAATTATCGATTATGGATGCATATTATATGGTTCAGCAAGTAAACATATTCTGAAAACAATAGATGTGTTTCAAAACGCAGCATTGCGTATTTGTTTAGGTGCCATGAAATCGACGCCAATTAATGCTCTACATGTGGAAGCTCTGGAAAATCCCTTGGGCTATAGAAGAGAATACCTCAGTCAAAAGTTTGTTATTAATATACAAAATCGTAACACTACTCTCTACTCAAATATCAGAAAATTGAACGAAGAAGATTTAACTAATCGATATTGGAGACTTAAGAACTCACCTCCACTTTGTGAGGCTTTTAGAAGCCTGACAAATTTTGATTACAACTTTAAATCAGAGGATAATCTTAACATCGAACATTTTTATTCGTGCTTGCAACCCATTACTGTGATACAACCAAATTACCATGTAAATTCTTCTGTTAGCTCGAATATTTTGAGGTCCTATTTATCTAGTCTGTCAGACTCTTTAGTTATTTATACGGATGCCTCAAAGTCTATTGTTGGTACTGGATGTGCTTTCTACATTCCATCAACTAATACAGAAAAACTTTATCGATTAAATCGTAGTTTTTCAATCTTTAGTGCTGAAGCTGTAGCAATATATGATGCATTAAGATACTTTGAAAACACTCAGAATACATCTGTTACAATAGTATCTGACTCATTGTCTGTTATGTTAGCCATTGAAACTTTAAATTTTCCTAGTAATAACTCAAATATATATGTCTTTCAAATTAAAAAACTTGTTTATGACATTTATAAAAACCGAAGAGTTGTTCATTTTTTGTGGGTTAAAGCACATATAGGTCTTAAATACAACGAACATGTTGACCTATTAGCTAAAAAGGCCATTGATACCGGAACGCAAGCTAGTCACCAAATCTGTAGACAAGACGCATTAACAATAATTAAAAATAATATCAATAGTAAATGGAAACAATCTTGGCATACATATAGTACGCATTCTTCCTCGCAATATGCTTCTATACAGCCTTCAATCCCAAGTGATTATTGGTTCAAAAATTATTCTGTTCCACGAAGGTATATAACATCCATAATTAGAATAAAATTTGGACACGCCTGCTATCCTAGTCATCTGTCCAAACTAAAAATCGTAAATTCAAATTTATGTCCAGACTGTCAAAAAGAAGGGGATCTAAATCACATTTTCTTCGAATGTAAAAAATACACAAAACAAACTGAAGACCTAATAAAAAATTTAGTTAACATCAAAATTTTTCCTCCGTACAATATGTGCTATCTGCTTTCTCTAAATATAAGAGTTGTAAATGAATGTTTGATGGATTTTATTTGCAAAAGTAAGCTCAATATTTAACTGTAATTAGAATCCTAACCTCTGTTTTACCCCATTTGTTATTACCTTTTATCCGTGACCTAATCTAGTTTGTCTTAAAAGCAATGTCTTGATGGGTCCCTAGACGAGAAACGAGTGTCCATGTTTTATCCCTATCCTATCCTTAATAATAATTTTAATGCTTAAAATTTGTAAGGATACTTAAGTTTGAATTTTATATTATCTTTTTATATTGTACTACTCAATTTTTTTTTCTGGGTAGAATATTTTCATGTTGTGACTGGCTGTATGGCACTTGCCTATGCCATTAAAAAAAAAAAAAAAAAAAAAGTAAATAAGGAGAAAACTAAGATATTGGCATCAACACCCAACAATAGAGACATCGGCTACCGGTTCACGGTTGATAACTCTACCTTTAAAGTGGTGGACAAATTCACATAGTTAGGCTCCCTGATCACCAAGGTGAACGTCCTGACGTTCATCTGAAGAAATCAAGCGAAGAATAATCATAGTAAACAAATGCTATTTTGGATTGAGTGGACATATGAGAAGCAGAAACTTAAGCCAAAAAACAAAAATAACCATATACAGCACCCTTATAGAACCAGTGTTGACATATGGATCGGAGATATGGACCATTTCCAAGGCAGATGAAAACCTCCTGCTTATATATGAACGAAGGATCCTAAGAACAATATTCGGTGGCATCTGTGAAAATGGTGTTTGGAGAAGGAAGTACAACTACGATATATATCACAAATATCAACATATATTTGGTGGTAAAGACGTTGTATCTTTTATAAAAATAGAAAGACTAAGATGGGCAGGACATCTGGCAAGATCACAGCGGAACAACCCTCCTAGAAGAATCCTTATGTCACAACCTGTGCCAAGTAGCAGCATGGTAGAAAAATAGGCGCAGTAAACTGTTGGCAATAGATAAAACTGACTGGCGTAATAGACTTTGAAAGGTCGAGGCTCTTTTATAGGGTTGTAGCACCAATGATGATGATGACGATATCTGATTCCTGGTATATTTTATAAAGTTCGAAGTTGTATCGTCTTCTCCACACTCCATTGTCATTCACCCATTCGTAGATTCGGCTTAGTACTTTTCTTTCGAAACATCCTAACATGTTTTTATTACGTTTTGTTCAGGTCTCTAAACCATATGTTAGGACTGGGTGTATTATTGTTGTTTTGGGCATTGTGCCTACGGTTATTTCGAGATCCTCGTTGAACTTTGATCTGTATTCTTGTGGTTTTTAGCTCTCGGATCCGCAAGCACTTACTAATTAAAATTTTTGATTTTCATCTTTTAGCCCTATCATCAATATTATTTTTAATATATAGTTTATACTTTCAATATTCTTTTCATTTTTCCAATTGTAGTGTAATAGTATAGCCACGCTTTCTTTAGCTCTGTTTTTCTTAGCTACTTCACTATACACCGGAAGATATTTCATTAGGCATTGCTATAATTCTCCTTTCTTTTTTATTGTCTGTATTACAACAACGTAAAATATTCTAATTTAATTCCTGTAGACATGTGCTTGTGAAGAGAGATGGCATTAGACAAATAATCTTTTTGTCACAGCACTTTGCTAAAAAGATTTTTAAATTTTTATCTTAGAATCGTTTATAAACTTGATAAAAATATTATATATACATTTTTCAGAATAAGATAATAAATTTCTGATGTTTACTGGTAGGATAATGTTGAGATCCTAACTATAGGTTCAGAGTCTGATCCCTATAATTATTACATTCGAATTTCTGTTCATAAACCTCTACAGTTTTCAAACTGTGTCTGCATTAATGACAGATATTTTTCTAAATTGCATAAAATACATTATTACTGTGTTTTAGATTAACTGAGGGAGGCAATGCAATGTGTCACCGTTACTGGCCTGAAGAAGGATCTGAACTATACCACATCTACGAAGTACATCTCGTTAGCGAACATATCTGGTGCGATGATTATTTGGTTCGGTCTTTCTATCTGAAAAACGTTCGTACTGGAGAAACCAGGACGGTTACTCAGTTCCACTTTTTATCTTGGCCAGAAACTGGAATACCCGCATCTACAAAAGCACTACTGGAATTCAGGTAAGCCTGTTTTAGTATTTATAACGCATTATTTATTTTTGATAGAACAGCAATGCCAATTGTACAAAACAAAATTTTGAGCTACTATTTGAGCATTGAAATATTTATAAACGGTTGCATCTGACCACTGTCCATTTATCATGTGTACTAGAGCGTTGTAAGATGTCTTTAATAAACAGTGTCGTATATATATATATATATATATATATATATATATATATATATATATATATATATAAATATACAGTGCTGAGTGTCTTACCACCCGGCTTTTTAAAGTAAGAGATAGAAAACACAGTTACCTTGTGTAATAAAAAGAGATGAAACTCGTAGAGGTGGGAAATAATCGATAGAAACCTATAATTTACATTACATTATATTACCAATATCGATAGTCTCGCACCTTTAGACGTTAGCTTCGAGCTAAATCACCTCGGTTATAATTATTATGTTTGATGTCGTATGTGTGACGTATTTCCATTTTTTAATGTCGCATAAAGTAAAAACTGACCACAATAAAGCAAAAATGTGAATAAAATAATTTAATTATTAGTGATTATTTATTCTAAATTAATTTTATCTAAATTTTTATTTAAATTTAATCTAAAGTTTTAAATTATTAACCAAAAATAATTTCTACTACGATTTTAGGAGTTTCATACTTTTTTCAGAGAACTACGAACACAGGTCTCTAACTGTGGTCGTTAGTTCTCTGCTCGTGTCACGGAATAATTAGCAATCCATCGTAGATTAGTGGTAAGAATTCGACACTAAAGTGCAGACGATTAGAGTTCAAAACCTACATGTGTTTTTTTTAATAATTTGAAATTATGCAGAGATCGTTTTGCTTTTGAACATTTATGTCAGTCGTTAGTAGTATTAGAAGTGTTTAAAGTTAAACATAAATATCTTACTGGAAAAAGTGTCCGTCGTACTTTCGAAAATAAAGTAAAAATTAATGTTTAAAGAATTTAAGAATTCAATTTAAATTTAAGTTTAAACAATGTTTAAATAAGTAAAAATTCTACAAAAATAAAAAATATTGTAAATAAACGTATTTACAATTGTCAATTGTTTTGAAAATTATTACCTGTACAGAAGAATTGATATTAACATTGAGAATTTAGTGATGGATTTGATATAAACAGTCTTCACCGGATTATTTTGCATTCACAACTGAAGACTGTATGAATTGAATTTGAATTCTTTTGTATTTCCGTTTTATAACATTGGAATAAGAATAAATTGTAAATAATGAGTTTTTCGAAAATTTGTTACCTAATATGTATCATATTTTCTATTATTTTTTGATTGATAAAACAAAAATTTTATCGTTAATAGACAACGTCCCTAACTACTACACCAACTCCACATACATTAATTGTTTTTAAACAGAACATACCTACCTTTATTTTGGTCAAATATTTCACTTAAGTTATTTTTATTATTAAATAAACTTAAAGATTTATAATCTAAAATCGTTACTATTGAATGTTTTTTACTATAATATATCTTAATTTATTCAAGTATTTATTCTAACATCAGAAATTATTAAAATAAAATATTTTTAGGTTATCCGTATAATTATGACTGAAGTCAAATAGCCACGTCTAACGTCTAAAGGTGTGAGACTATCGATGGTGGTAATGCAATGTAATGTAAATTATAGGTTTCTATCGATTATTTCCCACCTCTACGAGTTTCATCTCTTTTTATTTCACAAGGTAACTGTGTTTTCTATATCTTACGTTAAAAAGCCGGGTGGTAAAGCACTCATCACTGTATGTACACCACGATTATTTTGTTCTTCTGCGAAGACTGCATGCTTTCCTTAAAAAAATTACCTGTTTTAACTAAAAAGTAGACTAACTAACAAAAATTATCACTGGGAACGATTTTCAAAAGAAATGAAACATGATTTTTACGGTCTGCGAAAGGAAATATGGCGCTTCATAAGATGTCAAAGAACGAAGGTTAATTAACTAATAGAACCAAAACACATACAAAAGGATACGTGGATTGACTACCTAAAAAAGCTATATACAGAGGAAGAACAAACGACGCTAGAACCGGAAACACCAGAAAACACAAACGAAGAACTTAATATAAATGTACAGAAACAATTTAACAAAATTAACTAATAAAATTATAAAATACAATAAAATACCGGAAGAATGGAGATCGAGCGAACAAATTTTACTATTCAAAAAGGAGATATAAAACAGCTAGAAAACTACAGAGGTATAAACTTGAGGTATTGAATACTACGATAAAACTTACAACTAAAATTTTACAAGTGGCAATAAATCAGAGAATAAGTTTAGTAGATGAACAATAGGGTTTTCGTAGTGAAAGATCATGTACAGATGCAATATTCGTTATAAAGCAAATTACTGAGAAATCACTAGAATATAATAGACCAGCATTTCTGTGTCTGATTCACCTAAAGAAAGCGTTTGACAGAGTAAGACTCGAAGATGTAATCCATCTTTTGTGTAATAGCGAAATTCCCCTAAATATTATAAAAACTATCGATAACATCTACCAAACAACAAAATGGAAGTCAGAATAGATGGACAACTTACATAACCTATAGAAATAGGCAGATAAATAAGACAAGGAGATTCATTGAGCCCCATGCTCTTCAATTTGATCATGGATGAAATCATCAAAACCGTTAACAATGGAAGAGGATACAGAATGGCAAACAAAGAAATCAAAATACTCTGTTACGCAGACGACGCAATATTAATAGCCCAAGATGAAGATAGTCTGCAAAGACTTGTTCACAGATTTAACATAAGAGCAAAAGAATTTAATATGACAATCTTATCTCAGAAAACTAAAACATCAGTAGTCAGCAAAGAACCAACCAGATGTAAAATAGAAATTGATTGCGTCAGTATTGAACAAGTAATGGAAACAAAATACCTGGGAATTACACTGTCTAGCTATGGAGACCTGGACAAAGAAGTGAGAGATAAAGTACAAAAAGCAAATAGACTGGCAAGATGCCTTAATAACACTATATGGCGAAACATATACATTAACACTGAGATGAAGTCAAGAATTTATAAAGCCAGTGTAAGACCAATAATATCATACGCCTCAGAAACAAGACCCGAGACAGCCACAAAGCAAAGGCTACTGAAAACGGCAGAGATAAGAGTACTGAGAAGAATTGAAGGAAATACGCTAAGAGATCGAAAGAGAAGTGAAGACATACGAAGATACTGTAACGTACAGTGTATAAATGAATGAACACAAAATAGAAAAAAATAATGGAATAACAACATAAGCCGAATGGAGGAGACCCGTATCGTCAAAATAGCAAGAGATAAGTCACCGATGAGCAGAAAAAGTATCGGACGATCGCGCAAAAGATTGAGTGACAACTTTTTATAGAGGAGCAAATCAAGTCCTTAAAGGACCAGCTAGACACAGTTAAGCAACAGCAGCAGCAGCAATGTGTTAGTGGTAGAACTAAATCGGAAATATTATTGCATGAAATTAAAGATCGTACTGAACCCGCTAATAATTTGATAGTATATGGCATCTCGGAATCAGCAAGTAGTATCTTTAATAACGAACAAATGCTGATAACAGCGCACTTAATTCCATATTCAACAATATTGGTCTTACCCAGAACGATGTGGTGAAGATATTACGAGTGGGGTAGGCAGCTAAAGGCAAAAAAGGCCAATAAAGGTGGTGACCAAACACGGCTCATTCGCATTAAGGATGATATAGAATAGCTATGATAAAACGCAACTTCAACAGGAACAGTTTTGGCGTTGCGTGCTCGAGAACAGAAGGGATAATCTGACTTAACTATTAAATTTATAAATAGACCTTTCAACATTTGCTGAAAAACTTTCTTCAAATATCCTAACTCATTAAACACTATTACTATTTATTATCAAAATTTTAAAGGAATACATACTAGGTTAGATCATGATACTATGACTAAGAACATAAGATATTGCGCCTAAGTCGTGACGTCATTGGAGAATTGCACGTTCGAAATGTCAATTTTTTATATGTATCAATAAATAATCTTTAATAAATACTTTGAAGATATTCTTATGTGTACGATTATTGTAATTATTAAATCTCTTCACTTATTTTCGTCTAGTAATTTCATCATAGAATGCATACAAATCTCACTTAACTTTAACAAGGATTTAAATTCTACTCTTCAATGACGGCATGCGCGAACACGACCGATTTTGTGCTACGGGAAGATCCTATCTTGTTAGTCATAGTATCATGGGTTAGATGAACTTCAAACCTTCATCTACCAATGTAACTATGATGTAATCATTTTGGTAGAAACTTGGATAAATCAAAATTTATCAGATAATGAATTAATTGTCAAATTCTGCCTACCTAATTTTCAGATTGGACCGTAACTTAAGAACTATCACTAAGCATCGCGAAGGAGGTTTTAATTTTGTTATGAAATTATTTTAAAGCTAAAAAAATCAAATCTGACATTAATAATGTTGAACAAAAATCAAATCTGACATTAATAATGTTTGTTTAAGTAGATTATGAACTGGAATCATTTATCTTAGGTGGACTATACATTCCTCCAATCTCATTAAAAGATATTTACCTTAGCAATTTCTCGGCGGTTGAAACTATTAAAAACAATAGACTGTGTATTTATTTGGCAACTACAATATATCATTGGCTTCTTAAGCTTACATAAATGAAGAGTGCTGTGCTCGTTGACTGCCCACAAAACTATCCAGCCAAGGAACTATGCGAATGTTTCTTCATCCTAAACCCAAGGCAATCAAATAACATACCAAATCAACACGGAGTATGTTTGGATCTCAATTTTCACAATATTAAAGATTACCAGAAACTGTCAGTTTCTGATAATCTTCAATCAAATACGAGGCATTTGACCATTTGTTTTCCAATAAATTTCATCATGTGGTAATTTACTTGTGATATTAGTTGTAATGGTAATGTTAAATAATTAGATTACAGTATATATATATATATATATATATATATATATATATATATATATATATATATATATATTGACATCTTCAAGTTTCATCTTCTATCGAAGTTTGGAAATCATCATGGCTGTGTAGACCCTGTTGATTGGCGCTCTAAATAGTTCTGCACTAAGATTTACTTGTTTTAATGTCCGTGCTTCCAAGCCATAAAAATGAGTAATGAACACGTAATACTGAAGCATTCTTAGGCGTAGTCCTAACCTTATATCACTACAACAAAGAAACTTTTTAAGTTGAACGAATGATACATGTGCTATTTCAATACGTATCTTAATTCCTTTGGTTTGGTCTACATTTGATGTTTTCCATGTTCCTGAAGTTAATTAAGCACATTGATGTTTTAGTGACACTCTTGAACCAAATTTATAGTTCAGGCGTATTACCCAAAGAGTATCTCCCCAAAAAGAAAAACGCAAGAGAATGCAGCGATTACTGTACCATTAGCTTGATGTCTCATGTGCTAAAGTTACTACTAAAAGTCATCCATAACCGAATATATCACAAATTGGACATAGAAGTTAATTATACACAATTTGGTTTTCACAAAGGCCTAGGAACGCGTGAAGCTCTTTTTTCACTTAATATACTGATACAAAGATGTCTGGACGTCAATCAAGATATATACGCATGTTTTATTGACTATAGGCAACAATAAATAAATGTCCTGAAATCAAAGAAGATTTATTACAACGACCTCAGGATCATATCAAAATTTATACTATAAACAGCTAGCAAAAGTACGTGTTAACGAACAGCTGTCAGAAGAAATTAATATTAGATGTGGAGTGGAACAGGGATGCGTATTGTCTCCAATTCTTTTTAATGCCTATTCCGAAGAGATCCTGAAAAACGCTCTTGAGGGTGAAACAGCTGGAATAAAGGTAAATGGACTTCCCATTAGCAACATTAGATCATTAGATATGCAGACGACACTGTGATCTTAGCCAAAATATTGAAGATCTTCAGAGACTGATGACCAGAATAGCGGAGTATGGAAAAGTGTATGGTCTAACAATGAATGTCAAGAAGACGAAATTTATGAGAATATCGAAAACTCAAAGAAATAACGATAATCTTCTAATAAACGGAACCAACGTTGAACAAGTGGACAAATATGAATATCTGGGAACAATGATTAACTCCACAAATGATTACATTCTTCTTCTTCTTACGGTGCCTTATCCTTAAGGACATTGGCTATTACATTTGCCCATTTAATCTTATTTGTAGCAGCCCTGAATAGTTCTATGGAGGTCATGTTGGTCCATTGCCGTAGGTTTTTAAGCCAAGAGTTGCGTCTTCTTCTTGGTCCTCTTTTGCTATTGACTTTGCCTTCGATTATAAGTTGGAGCAGTTCATACTTTTGATTTCTTATGATGTGACCAAAATATTGTGTTTTCCGTTCTTTTATTATAAGCATAAGCTCTCTTTCCTTATTTATTCTCCGCAAGACTTCCGCATTTGCTCATGTAGGGTATTATGAGCATTTCACGGTAACACCAGAGTTCGAATGCTTGGATTCTTTTTTATGTTGCTTCTGTCATTGTCCAGGCTTCAACACCATAGAGCAAGGTGAAAAAAACATAGCACTTAAGTATTCTATTTCTCAATGAGTTGCCCAGCTGGCGGTTGCATAGAACTTTTTGCATTTTGTAAAACATTGTACGTGCCTTTTCCAGGCGTATTCTTATCTCTAGTGAGTGGTCTTAAGTTTCATCAAGATTACTTCCAAGGTACGTTGTTCTTGTTACTCTTTATGGATCTGTTCCGTCGACATTGACCTTCACCCTTCTGTTTTGGTGCTTGCTGATGACCATCGTTTTTGTCTTCTTTGTATTTAATTTTATTCCAAATTCTCTACAGGCTGTCGTTACTCGGTCCATTAAGCGTTGCAGGGCTTCAGCATTATCTGCCAGTATGACAGTGTCATCAGCATATGGCAGGTTATTTATACATTGCCCGTTTATAATTATACCATCCGAGGTGCCTTTCAAAGCTTTCTGAAATATCTTCTTTAAGTAAAAATTGAACAGCAAAGGTGATAGGACACATCCCTGTCTTACTACCTTCTCAATATTGATTTTTCCAGATGTTTCGCTTCTGAAAGTCTATTACATTCAGGAGATCAAAATCAGAATAGAAAAGGCTAGAGCAAAATTTCAACAAAATGAGAAGAGTGCTATGTACAATGGATTTAAAATTGAAACTAACAGTTAGGTTGGCAAAGTGCTATGTTTTTTCGACTTTATTTTATGGAATGAAATCTTGGACCCTGAATGCGACATCAATGAAAATCTGGAATCATTTGAATTTTGGGTGTATAGAAGAATTCTGAAAATATCGTGAACAGAACACGTCACAAACAAAGAGGTCCTGAGAAGAATAAATAAAGAAATAGAAATTTTAAATACAAATAAAACAAGAAAATTGGAATATCTCGGATATATTACACGTGGAGAGAAATACACTTTGCTCCAATTGATTATGCAGGGAAAGATCCAAGGAAAGAGAAGCATAGGGAGGCGTAGAATGTCATGGCTGCACAACCTGGAAGAGTGGTACGGATGTACATCAAATGAACGTTTCAGAGCAGCCGTCTCAAAAGTCCGAATAGCTATGATAATTGCCGACCTCCACCGCGGAGATGGCAATTGAAAAAGAAGATGTTCCTAAGTATTTGCAGGTATCTACACTCTCAATTACAGTATCTTCAAGAATCAATTGGATGTTTGCATCTACTGATTTGTTCATGATCATGCACTTAGTTTTCTTTAAATTCATCCTTAGTCCGTATTCATGAAAGAATTCATTATGGCATTGCATTACGTTCTGTAAATCATTGTTGTTATCCATCATTATTACTGTATCGTCTGCAAAACGCTTACAAACTTAAGTTTTAACTTAGTTCTCAAAAACTTCTTTACTGCTATACCTTCTACGGAATCTGAAAGGGCTTCTTTAAATACTGCTTCATTGACATTGAAGAGTAGTGGTAACAGCACGCAATCTTGGCGGAATCCTCTCTGTATTTTGATGCCTTAGGTATTCTGGTTGTCAACTCTTACCTTGGCAGTTTGATTCCAATATAGTTTAGATATAATTTTCATATCACGACTGTGAATATTTTTGCTTTTTAATATATCTACAAGCTTTTTATATTAAACCTTATCAAATGCTATTTCAATATCTACAAAACATAAGTACATGTCCTGATTCATGTCCATGAATCTCTTGGTCAGCACATTCATGTGATCTCGTGAATACAAAATCTGAAGATTTAAGCACTCTTTTACTGAATATGTTAGGGATAGAAGAAGAGTAATCTTTAATTTGGAATATTGATTTTATTTTAATATAAGATTAAGATTTTTAGGAATATTGACTTTATTTTAATTTAATCATTTGTTTAACATTATTTTATAATTATTTAATATTTAGTTTTAGTATTTTTGTTATGTTTAGGATATTTTTTTTTTTGCCAAATTTAAAATTTGTTAAAATAAATAAATATTGGAAATAACAAAGTTCATTATATTTCTAGAAAAACGTAAAATGTGTCTAATCCTTCAACTATTTGGAGATTTAAAAATATTAAAGATTACTTAATTTATTATCTCAAATAATCCGTTTTGTTCCAGGAGGAAAGTCAATAAGTCTTACCGCGGTCGATCTTGTCCAATCGTAGTCCACTGCAGCGACGGCGCAGGAAGAACGGGAACCTATTGTCTTATCGATATGGTACTGAGTCGAATGGCGAAAGGCGCGAAGGAAATTGACATTGCAGCAACACTGGAACATCTACGAGATCAGAGACCCAGAATGGTAGCTACCAAACAACAATTTGAGTTTGTGCTCACTGCAGTCGCAGAAGAAGTACACGCCATACTAAAAGCACTACCGCCCCAACCCAGTCCGGCCCCGGTCCAAGAGAAAGAAAAATAAATACGAGAAATTTCTTCACTCAATACAAGGTGTTTATTGCCCAGGCTCGGGTGAAAAGACACCAGCTTTGAGTTTTTTGTTTCTGTTTGGGAATTTTGAATATGCAGTAAAGACACAAGATAAAAAGATTACCTATTTTTTAAAGGAAACATTTCATGGGAGAATTTTCAAAGCACTTCATGGACAATAAGTTTTAAAACGACATTTCAACAATACTTTCGAATATTTGAACATATAATAAATTCCCAGTTGTTTTATTTATGAAAATCTGTAATCACTATGTTACCAGAAGATTCAACGATCAATACTCCAGCACTATTCATCGTTGACGCGTACCTTGTTTCAAAATCTACATATCTATGTTTAGTTATCCAAAAGATCTATTTACAAACAAATAAAATATATTTATTGCAACAGATGTATATTGTGTTTTCTGGAATGTAGCTTGGTTGAAGTTTTTAGAGAACGAGAAAAGATATATAGTACCAAACCACATTCTTGGTGACAAAGATGTTACTCTATTTATTTTTATATATGTTTTAAAGAAAATTTTTAACTTATAATCTATGTTACTATGTGTTGTTAAGTTAATTTTTTAATAGCCTATTCAAACGATAGACTTCTATTTTATGAACTTTGTATTCCACATGGAAAGAGCCATTTCAAGCTATATTTTTGATCTCCAGCCTCTCGAAAATACGGCTTCAACTGGGCTCTTAGTATCGACGCTTAAAAGGAAGAAGAATATATATTAAAAGTATTTATATAGCCGTATGTTCCAGACTGAAATTAATGACAAGGTGTAAAATGAAAAATTATCAATTTCTGTCTAATAGGGAGGCAGGAACGACTGTTTAGTTGGATTTGTTTCCCCGATGACGATTATAATATTTAATGAAAAAGGTATAATTAAAAATAAGATGTTCTATGCTATATTTATCAGCTCTATTTTGTCAAATCATGTTATTAATTGTGAATTATAAATGTACTGATTCAAGAAATTAGATTATTAGTGTAATGTAAGCATGTGTATGTATACAGCATACTAGTTGTTGTTATTTCTTTTGTTTCTATCCCGTACCTATTCCCATCCCTTCATAAAAGGTAAGTATAGCACTTAAAGCAAAGATATGTAATCATTAAGCCTTTGGGTCCACAAGATAACTCAATTAAAAGATTGCGCCAAAAAAGAAAATATCATCCGAAAAATTAAAGAAGGACTTAATAAAATAACAATTAATTTTACTAAAAACTCAAACAGAAAATGGGAGATTCTAAAATACGCACAATTCCACAGAAAATAATATCCACTTTTTTGATGTCGTAAACATTGATTTTGAAATTTGAGAGCACAGTCTTGTCACTTTTTTTATTCTTTAGTACTCAAAACTGAAAAAACATTGTATCGTCACATGGAACGAAGGTAATCGTGTTTTTTGCGATGTTTCAAAAATCGAGTGAGAGAAATAATGGTGATTTTGGAGGGTAAAAATGACTCAACGTAACATGACTGTAGAATCTGTTCAAAAGTACCTACAAACTTTTTTAAAGAACAAAAATGAAGGTCTTTTCTTATACCTTTCAAATATTGCTTTTGTTTTGTTTTATTATCAATGAATAAGCTCATTTAATTTGAAAAATATTCAATAATTTTTATGCTAATAGTAACAAAGCCACTGAGAATAAATGAGTAAAAAGTTTAACGAAACTGGTGCAGTAAAAGATTTATCCAAATCATAGCGCAGAAAACCTACAATAGCTGAAAACAAATTTATGTTAGAGGTATGTCAATATTTGAGTAGTAGAAAAATTAAGAATTTTAGAAAACCACTAAAGGCAATTACAGCAGATTCTCAAAATATTATTCCTTTACTTCAATACAACAAGTCATATATTTTAAAAACTTTGCAATACACTTTTCGTTATCAGTGACTGCTCAATTCTTCTTATCTCTATTGTAACCTTTATTTTTTAATTCCTGAATATTGTAAGGTTCGTTTTACACACGATGTTTTTTAAGTGATCCCACAGGATATAGTATAAAATCATGTCGAATGATCGCATTCGCCAGACGATAAAATCACGCCTTCCAATCCATCTTCTGGGAAACACATGTATTGCTTCACCACACGAGCATAGTAAAGGAGTACCATCTTGATGCAGCCAAATAATGTCGTTTGTGATATTGTTATTGTCTGACAGTTTTGAATAATGAAATTTCTACATTAAAATGTAATTGATTTTTTTTTGGATTTGCGAATAACCCAGGCAACTCAGGTGTCAGGTATAATACTATTTTCCAATAAATCTGAATACGCCGAACTATTTAAGTTTCTCTCAATGAAAAAGGGACCAATTATTTTGTCACCTATTATTCTAGCTCATAAATTAATTTGTTGTTGATACTGTGTGTGGCATTCACACATTCAACGAGGTTTGTAACATGATCAGTATCTAAATTATTTCGATTTACACTTCCAATAATTAAAAAAATGGACTCATCGCAAAACATAACCCTACTTAAAAAATTTGGATCGCAAACTCTTCAAATCTATCGAAAACATCATCTCTTCAACATTCAACTCCTGAATTAATCTTATTTTGTATGAATGGAATTTATTTTTAGGTAAAATTTTCATTATGGATGTTTGGGAAATCTCAAGTTCCCTGGATATCTGTCTAGTACTCAAGTGAGAATCGCCTTGTTTTTAGTTGATGCAGTTTTCTGTGCCCTGTACGATTCGCATAACCTCGGTAATGTCAGCGCTTCGTACACACGTATCCCCACCACAAGTACGACGGAGTATTGATCTGACAACAATTCTACTGGTCCCTAGGGTATTGACTAAAAACCAAACGCTTCTGCTAAAGTATTGATCTTGTAGCAGTTCCGTATCCATTCTTGGAGTATTGATCTGAGATATACCTATTCTCTCCTGTGTCCAAGTACTGATTGGATACCGTCCTTTCCTCGCCGGACCGAGTGTTGATTGGCCTGTTCCATCTCTATTCCCTCGACCCATTTTCGACTCCATATATATTACCTAGGATGATCTAATTTTATTTATTTATTTAGAATATATTTTTATTTAATTTAAACCTCTGTTTTACTGAGTCTGTTGTATAAAAGAGCTATATATATATATATATATATATATATATCGGTTTCAAAACGTCTTGCGTCGTTGTCCGATATCTAATTTCCACGAATTTCTATTATTCCATTGTTCTTCGGTCAAGTCTCGGGAGCTCATTACCTTTGTTATTCCCTGCTTCCATGTTCTTTTTGGTCTTCCTCGTTTCTTACAATTTGGTGTTATCCATTTCATGGCGAATTTTGGTACTCTTGTTTCTGACATTCTTTGAACATAGCCATACCATATAAGTTGTTTCCTTTCTATGTCTGTTGCCAGTGATCCATCTACCCCCATCCGATTCCTTATTTCATCGTTTCTAATTCTGTCTGCCTAGATATTCGAAGTGATCGTCTAAATACATTCATTTCTGTTGCTTCGAGTTTTCTTTTATTGCTTTCTGTTAGTCTCCATGTCTCTGTACCATAGGTTAAGCTAGTTTTTATTAAAGATTCATTATATTGTATTTTCGTCTTTTACCAATTTCTGAGCTCCAAAGAACTTAAGGCATCCAATTGTTCTACGGGCCTGGGTTATTCGTTTTTTAATTTCCCTATTGTCTGTGCCTGTGGTGTCGAAATCAATTCCTAGGTAGGTATATTCAGTGCAGAATGCAATTTCGGTTGTGTCCATCTGAATGTTGGATAGTTATGCGCCTATTGGGAGATATTTTGTTTTTTGTGTATTGAGTTCTAAACCCCACTTTTTGTATTCTTCCTGTAGTTTTCTGGCCATATATGTCAGGTCTTCTTTATCGTTGGCTATAAGGACTTGATTGTCTGCAAACTGTAGGGTATATAGGCAAGTTTCTCCCAGGTCAATGCCCATTCCTCTGCACTTTCTCTTCCACTGATACAGTGCTTTCGCTACGTAGATTTTAAACAATGTGGGGGATATGCAACACCCCTGCCGGAGTCCCTTGTTTACAGAAAATTTTTTTGAAAGTCTGTTTCCAATTTTTATTTCCGACGTTGATCCTTCATAAAGCTGTTTAAGGGCGTTAATTACTGTGTGGTTAATGTTTGTTTCCTGCAAAACTTTCCATAGCTTTTTAGCGGGTACAGTATCATAGGCTTTCTTCTTGTTCCTTATATTCTTGTTCGATAATGTCTCGAAGTATCCGTCCATATAGGCGACTTAAGGTACTGGTTACTGATATACCTCGATAGTTTGAGCAGTCCAGTTTACTTCCCTTCTTATGTATAGATGATATGAAGGATACTTTGCACTCATGCGGGACTGGTGCACTGTTTAGATATTGGTTTGTACACAAGGTTAATCGTTCAAACAGTTTGTTGGTGCCGCATTTGATTAGTTCTGCTGGAATTCCCCTCACAAAATAATATAAATAAAAGAGCTACCCCTCACAAAGTGGAACCCAAGTAAAAAAATGATATACCGCTCCTTTCAGCAACTACAGACACAGACTTAGTAGCAGGTGCCACGATATGTACATCGTGGATATATCGCCTGTCAAAAGAGGAATTACAGCGCGAGGCCGAAAAGGTAGGCTTAAATTCCAAAGCAACCGCTGAAGATCTAAGATCAAGACTAAGAGACTTTTTTTAGATCTCGGAGAACCGACAGGTACGATCCCAAAAGTTAAACTTTCCAAAGAACTTGAAACCGAAGAACTAACAATAAATGACAATTGTCAGAAGATAATTTTAAGACCTAACAATACTGCGATGTGGAGCTCCCTCTTCGATAAAAAACATTCGGACGCAGCAAACTTGAGAGAAAGGATAGACGAATTAAGCCTAGTCTAAGAGATCGATAAACAAGATCTAAGATCATTGCCAGCGTTGCTATGCGTTACTAAGGTATAACAGCTACAACAGTGTATTTGCTACAACTGGAGGAACAATATAACAGGTATTCAAACATTAATTAGACGAGAAGGATCTTTTTCCAAATATCAAGAACTGAAACGAATATATAGGAATAATATGCTACCATAATATAAACTTTATATTCGCTACCGAGACTTTGAAGATTTAACTGAATTATAAAACTTAGCTCAGGAATATGAAGCCATGTATGACGAAAAGATCAGAGTTAATCTAAATCTTTAAAGGCGATAAATATTTTAGATTTCGAAAAAAATCGACTTTTTTATCTTATATATTGACAGTAGTTTTTACTATGGGATTTGGGTTAGGATATAAATTATCAAAAATATTACACGTTTCTTATTGACTTCTACGCAAATCATCATATTATGCTAATATCATTAAAATTTCAGTCCGTTTTTTTTCATGTATAAAATCCATAGTGACTTTAAATTGACACTAACAATACTAATTTATTGAAACGTCAAAGTTGTAATTGTAATAGTTATAGCCATCTTAATAGGTTATTTGGACTTCGCCAAATATAATCTAAATAAGTATAGAAATAACTCTGAAATTATGGTATTTAGGTATAGAAAACAACATGAAAAATAATCAGTATTTTTTAAGGACTTCAAAAGACAAAAAATATTCATGATAATCCATTTTAAATAAGAAAGTTCATTATATTCTCAGAAAAACTGAAGATCTTACAACAATTTAAATCTCTATCTATCTAATTAGTCTTCTTCGGTCCATATTTGGACATAGGCCTCCCCAATCCTTTTCCATTCTTCTCTGTCTGTCGCTACAGTCATCAACCTAGAGCCCACGTGCTTCTTGATATCACCTACCCATCTCATTTGAGACCTTCCTCTGCTTTGTTTATATTTCCATGGTCTCCAACTTATAAGAATTTTGTTCCATTGGTTTTCTTTTTGTCTTATATTGTGTTCTACAAATCTCCATTTCAATTTTGCAACTTCTTGTCTAACATCCCTCACTTTTGTTTTTTCTCTTATTCACTCGTCTCCCTTTTTATCCATTAGTCTTATGTGCAACATTTGTCTTTCCAT